AAACATATCAAGGTCCCTTGGACTTGATTTTGAACCTGTCTTGGTCCTTTTTAGGACCAAGGGGCTTTCCATTCTTTTGGTATTTATTAGAATGATCCACATTGTTCATGGTATTAGCTCTTGAAAAGCCATCATATGAACTTTTTTCTTTTATCTCGTGCAATCGATTCTTCCGCTATGTGAAGATGTTTTTGTATATGTTTCAAAGAAAGATTTTTGAAATTGTGAAGAATCTTCTTTCTATAACCTTTCCAAGTTAGAGGCAATTTAGCAATAATTGCTCCTACTTGAAATGATTCGGGAAATTCAAACTTCACCGCTTTCAATTTATTGACAATGATTTGGCATGCATATACTTGAGGCAATAATGGAATGTTATCTAACATCTTAAAATCAAAATATTTTGAAATTAAAAATTTCTTAGTACCTTTCTCCTCGGTCTTGTATTTGTTTTCAAGTGCATCCCAATTTTGTTGGATAATTTCAACATATATATGGCCACACGTTGTATATTGAAATGTGTGATGCATTTATTTAAAGGATATTAGTCAATTAAAGTGATTCGATAAGATGTATTGTGACTAATGGATATTAGATTCCATTGAATTATAGTATAGAGATCGGAGTGTTGTTTTAAATTGATGAGAGACCCATTTGAAACAACTGAAAGATATTGATTATTGAGTTACTACCATTATTTTATATAGTTATGGTCCCCATTTGTTGATATTCTTGAGTTTCTTTACATCTTCATCAATAGAGATCAAAAGTTTAAGTGAAAATCACCAATCATTTGGAAGATTCTAACCTATCCATGCAAAGAATCAGATTACTATGGATATATGTATGTTTTATGTTTTGTTACTTTATCGGATTTCAACATGGAGATGTATCTATGGTTTATTATTGAGAATTGATGATTTGATTATTATTATTTTGATCGATAATCTTATTATGTTTTTCTATCAAGTGGTATCAGAGCCTCTCCAGAGTTAAAATTTTGAGAAATTGAAGATTTAAAATTCTGAATTTTTGTGTTATTGGATCTTCAATTTAGTATGTTATTACATGAAATTTAGCATGTTATTATGGATCTTCAATTTGGTATGTTATTTCATGTAATTAGCATGATTTTATGATATAATTTATGGTTTTCTTCATAAATTCCAATTTTGGATTAAAGTTTTTTTTTTTTTTTTTTTTAATTTTCAGATCTGATTAAAAAAATTTTTTTTTGGCAGCCGCCTCCGATGCCGTTAGCAGCGGGGCTGCCGGATGTTGTTGGCTGGCGGGGCAGGATGAAGGAGAAGAGATGAAGTGTCATCTCATTAAAGTTTTCAATTATGGAATAATTACATTTTCAGTTTTGGAATTTTTGGGGACGGGGGCTTGGGCTGCAAATTTGAAGTTTTGGGGCCCATGTTTGCAATTAAAAATTAGAGTTAGGGTTGAGTTATTTATTATTCAACCCCTAAATTTTAAAGTTAATCCTAATTGGGCTTTAAGCTTATGAGTTTTAATAATTCAACCCC